GCATCCCGCAGCCCCCCCCCGGGGCTCTGACATTTGCTCCGCTGCATTTGCAGCCACCAGACCCACACGACCTCCCCCCCGCTGCGGGCGCAGAGGTGCCGTGGAAGGGCAGCATCACCAGCAGTAGCCCACCCCCAGCGCCCCTCAGCCCCTCACTCACGTCTCACAGCAGCCCACGCCGATGGGGTGCAGGCAGGTGCAGAGCAGGCAGTTGGTGCTCAGCCACGACTCCCCGAGGGAGAACTGCTTCCCCTCGTACTCACAGGGAGCTGCAAAGGAAACGGTGGCGATGAGCACGCATGGGCCTGCGCCGGGGCGCGTGGGAGCCTCCTTGGCACCCCTCTGCCCTCAAAGAGGGGACAGGGGGGACATCATGACCTCCCACCTGCCCCATGGTATAGAAGATACTTGCTGGCCTCTCCGCCACCCTGCAGGTATGGGATGCCCAGGCATCTGCCAAGGGCGATGCTCCCACCCGTCCTCTCCTAGCCATACCCTGCTGCTCTCCCCACTGCCCCAGGGGCAGTGGCAAAGTGGCTCTTGCTTCCCTGGAGAGGGCATATCCAGTGCCCCTCGGGGTTTGAGCATCTCTGCAGCCCTGGAAGGAGGCAGCAGAGAAAAGACGGGCAGCCCTCCTCCCTTTGCTACTAGACATGCATGCTCGGCCCCAGCCGGGCTCCTGCCAGGAGCTCTTCATGGCCCAGCAAGCTGTTTCTCAGCCAGAGCCCTGGGGAGCTGTTCGGTGGTTTATAGACTGCTCCTTCCACTCATCACTGGCCCACGATCGTGCTCCTGACCTCAGCGCAGTCCCTTCCGCGCTTCGCAGGCACACAGGGCAGAGCCCTGCCGCCCCGGGGAAAGCTGAGGCCTCCTCTTCCCATCGGCATCTTCCCGGCTCACCTCCCCGCTTACCTTTAGCCTGGAAGTAGCATTTGGCCTGGGAGCCTGGCAGCTGTAGGAGGAGGGAGAGCAGGAGGCAAAGCCTGCCCCAAGCACACCCCATCTTCTGCACTCGCATGGCCATGGCTGGCGTTGAGCTGGGCTTCTTCACTGAGGTTTCCTTGCTTCTCTATTGCCTTTGCTCCTTTCCCTTCTCTCTCTCTCTCTCTGGCTTTTTAATGCTCTTCCCCTGATCCCAACAAGAGATATTTATAAAGTTCAGCTTTACGACCCTGGCCACCAGCTGTGCCCCACTGGAAAAGTTGTAAAACTCATTTCCTGATTTGAAAGGCATGAAAACAAGAGGTAGGATCAAGATTTTTAACAAGCTGTGAAAAGCTGATTCATGCCCTCCAGAAATGTCTCCAGTTGGAAGCCCCTGTGGGTGCAAGGCTCCGCAGTGAGGGGAGATCCAAAGGACCCCAGCGGGGTTGCCCTCGGCAGGGTGGTGAGCACGCAAGCAGCGAGCGCGGGAGACCCTGGCCCCCGACCAGGGGAGCTCCAGGCTCCCCTCTGGTCACGCTGGGCCATCTCTGATCCTTCACAGTGGCCAAGGTTTCAGGAGCATCCCATCTCGCAGGGACTGGAGAGGCACAGGCATCCTGTTAACAACCAGCGTGGGATGCAATGGCACCATCCTCGGCGGGGATGGAGGTGCTCGCACCCGGCTCCCGGGTACCACAGCACAGCGGTTTCGCCCCAGCCGGGGCTGCGGCCGTGCCAGGCTTGTGGCCACTCACGGGCTGGGGGTGACAGCAGGTTTTTCTGGCCAAGAGCAGGCAGTACAGCAATTGCCGCTGACGGGGAGCGGGTGAGGAAGGCTCTGCGTGAGGCATGACCCAGGACTCACCTGAGCAGTGCCCATGAAAGCAGGGCTGTGCCTGCGTACGTGCAGCACCCATGAGATGCCAGAGCTGAGCAGCCCCTTTCAGAGGCTGGAGACCGGCCCCAGCAGAAATGGGGAACAGGAGGGGTGAAATCAGGAGTCAAAGGTGCATTTGGGCAACAAGTGACCTGAGAGGGAAACGAGGGGCTTGTCTGGAAGCAAGAAGCCGTGGGGAGATGCCACAGCACCCAGGGACGTGCCTGTGGTCTGCACAGACCCTTACCCAGAGGGGCTGCCTCTGGGTTAAAGTGCTAAGGCTGTCATGAGCCGGCAAAGCAAGGGGACGGGTGAGGTGGAGGAGGTCAGAGCCCTGGGAGACATGCGGCCCCGGGGCGCTGCAAGCAAAGGGCTGAATTGCCAAGAGAAATTCTCAGCCCTCTTCCGAGTTTAGAAATTCTCAGCCCGCTTCAGAGGCGCCGCCGGCAGCAGGAAACGGGGCTCCGGGGACAGTCCGGCCAGTGGCTCGGCCAGCGCGGGGCCGTGCCGGCAGCGAGGCGGCAGCGGTAGCGGTAGCATATGTGGGTCATCTGCCCCTGTGTTAAGCTCCCTGCTTTCTGAGAGTTTGGGATAGGTTTACACCCTGACGCGTGAGGCTTAATATCCCTTCCAGAATTTGTGTTGGCATCCGCTATTATAGCTGGATATTTTTGTTATCCCCATAAATGCCCAATGCCTTCTTGAATCCTGCTAAATTTTGGCCTGAGCATTTTCCTGTGGCAGCCTAATTAAGCATGGAGTGAAAAAAAAAATGCTTCCTTTTATCCGCTTTGGATTCGCCACCTTCGGATTTGAAGGCATAGTCCCTTCGCGCTGCTGCTCCGGGCCCCCTCACCGTCCCATTACATCCCCGTCCTGCATCTCGTTCTCTCGCCTCTGAGGGAGCAGCCCCAGCTTTGCATCCCCTCTCCCCCTCGGAGAGTTACCCCAGCCCTCTCGTAGTGTCCTGAATGATGCTGTGCCCCCCCCAGGCAGGGTGGCCAGACGGCAGCAAGTGTGGGATCAGCTGGAAAAGGCTGATAATAAATCAGAGAAGCTCAGGGCGCCTGTGAATAACCTGCCAACCACGGGGCCGTGAGCTGGGATGGTGAAGTGTATCAGTGACAAATGAAACTTGCCCTTTGGTGCAGCATTGTTACTATATAAGGAGGATTAAAGCGTTCGTCGTCGGAGCAGTAAATGAATATTTCTATTGCGTGTTTGAAAAAAGAAGTCTGGCACGCTAGTAACCACGATGAAATAATCCATCATCGTTTCATCACTGAGTACAGCAAATGTTAA